TTAGAAAAATGTGGAAAACAATGATTATCAGTTTTCCAAAAATTTCCAACTTCTTTGTAATTTTAGAAAACGAAAAATTTTCATTTTCCGTGAAAAATTTAGAAAAATAGACGAACTAAACGCGTTTTCAAAATTCTCATTTTTCTTGGAAAATTTTTCCGGAAAACGGCCCATTTTTCCGCAACTAAACGCACCCTAAGGTTTTTTTTTAGATTACCCCTTTCCTTTTTACTTGATGCCAAAAGAACGACTTAATAAAAAGGGTTAATCTTATAAAAGACCTTATATTTTGTGTTTTTTCCCGATTAAACCTCGAATTTATTTTTTGCCTAAAAAAAACCTTGTAGTTTTTTCATTTTTTCCGAATAAACCCTCAACTTTGTCCTTTTTTCCCGAAAAAAAACTTCAACCATCAAACTGCTTCCAAATAACTTTTTTTGTTTTTGTCGAAAAAACCCTCACATTTTACAATTGGTTTTGGAAAAAAAAATGACTAGAAGGGCCACATCAGAAAAAATGAAAAAATACAAGGTTTTCTTCAGGCAAAAAATAAATTTGAGATCAACTCTAATAAAGAAAGCCTATGATATGACCTTTTTTTGGCAAATACAAAAGAACGACTAAATAAAAGGGTTATTCTAAAAAAGAAAACCTTATATTTTGTTTTTTTTTTCAGATTAAACCTCATATTATTTTTTGACTGAAAAAGACCTTGTATTTTTTCAATTTTTCTGATCTTGCCCTTTTAGTTGTTTTTTGCCAAAAAAAATTTGTAAAATGTGAGCGTTTCTTTGAGAAAAACTAAAAAAGTTGAGGGTTTATTTGGAAGCATTTAGAAGGTTGAGGGTTTTTTTCAGAAAAAAAATACAAAGTTGAGGGCTTTTTCAGAAAAAACTGAAAAAATACAAGGTTTTTTCCAGGCAAAAAATAGATTTGAGGTTTAATCCGGAAAAAACACAAAATATATAGGTCTTTTTTGAAATTAGCCCTAAATAAAATAAAATAAAGTTAGGGATGTGAAGCTTTCCCCAATAAGTGTGCACAAAAAGTCTTCTTTTCCACATGGTGATGTGGGGCCCATCAAAAAGATTAGGCAAAAATCAATAAGTTGTCATTGTACATTTGTACATTCACTTTCTATTCAACTAATACTTTTGTATACTAATCATATCATATTAGTGGAAATCGTTTTTGTCAAACTTTAATAAAGATTAAACCAAATCATCACTAACAATTGAGAAAAAAAAAATTCAAATATTTGTTAAGAATCATTATTCTATACTCACCATTTCTTTTGATGATGTGGCATGTTCTGAAGATCTGTGCCTTGAGTGTTCACCATGCAAACCACTACCAGAAACATTTCGCCTTGCAAATGCCTCAACTGCCCCTGAGTATCTATCTCTAACCTCTGCTCTCACTATAATATACACACATAAATTACCATCAAAGACTAAGGGTATGTTTGGAAAAAATAGTTGGAAGCTGGAAGCTGGAGATTTATTTGTGTAGAAGGTTTTGGAAGGTGTAAAATTACATAAAAGGACATCTGAATAAAAGATGTGTGATGCTTTTTAAGGGCAACCTAGTAATTTGTTATAATAGGCAGGAGCTTTTCTTTAAAAATGACTTGAAAGTTGAAATAGTTTTTGGATTAGGGGCTTTTTGTTCTAAAATAAAATTGGAGCTTTTACTTTGAAAGCTATAAAAAGGTTAAAATATAACACACACACTTCCATTCTTTTATTGATTCAGTGACTAAATGAAGAAAGAGTAAATTAATAAAATGGTGAAAGTAATTTTGACATTTCTAAATATATAATATAATATTATATGGAAAAAAACAAACCTGGGGTTTTTTCCACCTTTTCTGCTGAAGGCCCTGGATTCAGAGGTAGTTTGCCAACAGTCTGATTTGTAAATATAGGTTTATAAGAATAAACTTCTTCAAAAAATAAATAAATAAACAAAATTAAAAACTAGAAAAAAATACTAACACGTCCTCTAGAACTGGAACCTGAACCAATTTGAGGGTACTTCAAAATTGTCCAGTCAAATACATAGTCAAACTGATACCCTGAAATACAAACACAAATCATATTATTAAATTAAATAAAAAAAGAATAAAAGAAATCACTACAGAATCAAATCAGGGAAAGAATGGAATGAAAAAAAAAAGCAGTTTGTATTGTCTGAGGGAATAGAATAGACCATTCTTGAATGACAAATCTTTTTAAAAAAAATGATTTTAAATAATGTCTTTTATTATAATCTAGTTTAGAGTTTTTTTTATGTTTAATTTGTTACTTTTGTAGATAAAAAATAGGGTTAATCTCATAAAAGACTTATATTGTGTTTTTTCTGGATTAAACCTCAACTTTATTTTTTGCCTAAAATAGACCTTGCATTTTTTCATTTTTTCCGAAAAAAACCTCAATTTCATCTTTTTTTTCCGAAAAAAAACCCTCATCCTTCTAACTGCTTCCAAATAAACCCTCAATTTTTTTAATTTTTCTGAAAAAAACCCTCACATTTTACAATTCTTTTGGAAAAAAAATGACTGAAAGCACCAGATCAGAAGAAATGAGAAAATACAAGGTCTTTTTCAGCCAAAAAATAAATTTGAAGTTTAATCTGAAAAAAAAAAAAGAACACAAAATATAAGGTCTTTTATGAGATCAACCCTAAAAAATACATTGACTATAATTAAATTATATATAGAGTGAAATTTATACGTAATACCATACATTGTATTTACATATAATATAAAAAATCATATGTAATGTAATTTCATTACATTCCTAAGGTCCAACCAAACACGATCATGGAATGTAATAAATGATTCCATTGACATTACTTTTCTTATTCCATTCCTTCATGATTCCATTCCATTCTTTCCAACCAAACAGACATACAAAAGGGCAAAACAGACTTTTTACCTTCTCGAATGAAAAGATCACGAAAAAGTCTTTTCAAGTATGAATAATCCGGCTTATCATCAAAACGCAATGATCGACAATAATGAAAATATGATATGAACTCAGTCGGATATGACTTACAAAGCACCTGAAAATTATCAATTTTTTAAAAAAAAAAATATCACTTAATAATCATAATAAAACAACTTAAAATATTCAAATTCAACAATATGATTTATTACCTCTATAGGAGTAAGCATCTTCTTTTCACTGATTTTATCATATTTCTGCTTCTTAGTCCCAGCTTTCAGCCCCTGCCAAGGTAGGCTACAACCACATAAACATTACAAACACAATTAGAATCCCAAAATTAAAAATAAATAAATAAAAATAGAGAAAGGATATGATATTATGATATTATGATATTATGATATACTCAACCTTCCTCTCAAGAAATACATGAGCACATAACCAAGAGACTCCAGGTCATCCCTCCTGCTTTGCTCTGGAGATTACAATTAAAAAAAAAAAAAAAAAAAATCATGAGGGCATTTACGTCTTTTTGCATGGGCATGAAAAAAGATTACTAACCAACTCCAAGGTGGGTGTTGACACTGGCATAACGAGCAGTACCAGTGAGATTTTTGTTTTCCCTGAAAGAAAATTGGAAAAAATATATATATATATATAAGTAATAAGAAATGGAAATATCAAAATTCAAAACTAAATCACTTAAACTTGAGTTTTCTTATTAATAATCGGTTATAATACCTGTATGGTATATGCTTATGTGTCTGTAGATCCCTATATTTTTTTGCAAGACCATAATCTATAATGTAAACCTGTTGTATAACATGTATTTTAACGTTAAAATATGCGAATATAAAAAATTAAAATTTTTAAAGAAAATAAAAAATACCTGATTTGCCTTACGTCCTAGACCCATTAAAAAGTTATCTGGTTTTATATCACGATGAAGGAAGCCTCTTGAATGCATATATTCAACTCTGTTTATCTGCATAAAACAATACAGAAGATTCAGTGTCATCAGAAAACATATAAAAGGGTAGATTTGTCAAAGTAAATGAAAGTAGGATGCTATGATACACAAATAAAGGGATGTATATTGCTAATTCTTGTATTTAACACATCTTTGTATTACACAAAGTGGCATACTTAATTACTTACCAATTGATCTGCAAGCATTAAAACTGTTTTCAAAGTGAATTTCCGATTACAATAATTGAATAAGTCTTCTAAACTTGGTCCAAGAAGGTCAATAACCATGGCATTGTATTCGCCTTCAACTCCAATCCATTTAAGGTGGGGAACACCAGCTGTGGGAGGACATTAATAAGATTGTATTGTGAGTTTCCTGACATAAAAATAGGGAAAGATAAGAAGAATGTAAAAGGGAAATATGAATAAAACTTACTTCCTCCTTGAAGAAGCATGTACAATTTGGCCTCATAGTGAAGCTGTGGGTGTTTAGTCTTAACAGATTCCTGAAAGCATAGACAAAATACGTGTGAATTGATATGAAAAGACGTTCTACAATCTTATAAATGTAAAACCCTAGATAAATACCAGTTTAACAGCAACTTCTTCTCCACTTTGAACATTTACTCCTGGAATGAAAAGAAACCATTCACGAATGCGACAAAACTATTACATAAGAGCAACAAAAGAGGGGAAGAAATAATTTACCCAAATAAAGCTCTCCAAAAGATCCACTACCAATCTTCCTCCCAAGCTTAAACTTCCCACCAATCACATGATCCATGATGAATTCCCAAACAAACAAAGGTTAAGTAGATTCACGTAGCTAATAACTTCAGTTGAACTAAGTGAAGAACTATCACGGTGTCAAAAGCTAAGATCTCCAAAATGCACTCAGATCCATCAAAACTCACAACACAAACTAGCGAATTGCAAAGCCTCCACACCAAATTTTGGTATGAAGATTTGTGAGGAAACAATCGAGCTTGATGAGGTCTAGCAATGCCAGAAACTTAAAACCCCAAGCAAGAAATTTGTGGGTATAGCTATCGCTCCTAAGACAGAGAACCGACAAAGCAATGGATCGGTAAAAACCCTAGAACCTACACCATCAATAAAACAGAAAACTTGCTCCTAGAAACCAAGTAAAAATACGATTTTTCGAAGAAACTAATCAAAAACTCAACAGCGATGATAATGCAAAGCAAAGATATACAAGATTTAGGTCGATTACCAATTGAGGAACGAAGGGATTCAAGTGAAGAATTTTTAAGTGAGATCGAAGGAGAAGAAGAAGAAGAATCTAAGAAGAAGAAGAAGAAATCAAGGCGGAAATTCCTTTGGGGGTTTCAGATTCCATAGGATCTGCAGGAAGAAAAGAAGAAAAGCAGATTGACGGATTTTGAGGAGAAATATTTTTGTTGCAAGAAAAAGTAGGGATAAGAAGGATTCGGACAGTGCGATTGTTTGATTTTGTTACCAAATATATGATTCTCAAATTATTATAATCTATATATTGTTTGATCAAAAACTATGAAAAGAGTTTTTGATGATATAGTGAACTTATTATTCTATTAATATAAAGAAAAATATTTTGTTTTTCTTAATAATAAGTTTATATAATTATTTTGGAAAAAACAGCTTACGCACACTAGGATTAATCCTTGTGTAACATGACATTGAAGTCACCACAAACTAACTCACATTAGTCACATGGTCACAGGAACAACAATCAAATTAGAACTTGGATAGATGATATAGTATTAGATTCTCTTTTATCATTAATATATTATGTTTTATTATATTTTTTAATTTTTTATTATTGATTTATGATATACAATAGTTTTAAAAAAATAAAACCTTATTGCATAAATAAGTATTACCAAAAGAAAGAATTGTAGCTACCTATAAATACAAAATTGACCCAAAAATCATAGTAGAATGTCTGAAGTTCTACACATTAGCAAGAATGGGTCACAATTGTTCTGTTCCTTCCATGTGAGAAAAAAGGTTGAAAGAAAGAACTAGAAAATAAACAAAACCAAAAATTAAAATAAATATATAAAAAAAAAAAAAAAAAAAAAAAAAAAAAACTACTTTTTACAAGAAAACAAACGGCAGAATATGCCTATTGATTGGAGCCCATGAATCATTTTGAATTATTTAAGGTATTCTAATATCATATCTTGCAAAGCAACATTATTTTGTTATATAATTTGTATTAAAAATAATATTGTTATCCATATTGATGAAAGGTACCAACAAATACAACAAGTCATTCTTCAAAGTATATTTTTAGAAGTTTTTTGTTTTTTTCCTTTTGTTTATTTCACTTTATGTGCTCTGAAAATATTATCTTGTTTTGTTTTATATAGTGTTTGTTCATGATGTTGTACACAATATGTTGGGACCATTCATCTACTTATCCTATGTGAACCGAATTGTTGGCTCATTTAATGACTATTTCAAGCATCTTTTACAATGCAACTCAAAAAATTCATCAAAAAGATTCCCTAAATTCATTTGTCACTTAATTATTACCATATACAACTGTGGACAAGAAGATGTTAATGTTCACAAGTAGGTTTACTAAAATAGCCACTAACTTGCCCCTCTTGCCAGTTCAAAAGTGGGGTTTACTTTGCCAAACATTTGTTTTTTTAAGCCAATTCACTGTACAAAAATAGTTCCTAGACTCTTATTCACAAACAACCTAATACTTGTTTATTTATTTATTTATATTTATATTTTAAAAAATTACAAGTATAGCCCCTAAAATTTCATCGATTACGCATGATTTAATTTTATTTAAAATATGGTTACTTTTAGCATTTTGTTTTTAAAATTACAGAAATGATTCCCGCCTAACAGTACAGATGGTGTCAAAAATATATAATTAATGAACTCGATGCAATACATGGATCATCCCACTAGTTTTTTACTATTCTTTTAAAGGTTTCCATACCAAGATTTCTATTTCTATTTTTTATCTTCTCCTCGTGATTTTATTCTTCTCATTTTCTATATTAATCAATATACATTTTATATTAGATAGGCTTGTGTAAACACAGGTTCAAACATATTGATTTTCGAAATATGTTTTTTTAAGTTGACATTACAAATAGGTTTTTCAATGTTCAAATACGAATAGGTTTTTCAATGTTTAAATACGAACAATATTTAAACAAAAAAATTATTTATTTATATTCAAACAAAACATTACATACATATTAAAATATTAGATATTTTTAGAAAAAAAAAAAAAAACTTCGAGATGTTTCTTCTCTTCTTCAAAGTATGCCAAAACCTCATCTAGGGTATAAATAAGAACATTATTAGTACGGTTTTGTTCAGCAATAAAATGTGATAGCCAAATTCCAAGCTGCAAAAAGGGTTGCATCCCGTATCGCCTCCAATGTTTTTCTTTTTTATGTTAACTTGATTCAAGAAAAGATTTGTTATCAATTATCAATGTGATTTAGAGTTTTAGTTTCTCTGTAACGCCCCGATTCTCAGGTATTGAATTAATATAAGAATTTTCTTGTTTTCGAGGTCTACTCGACGAGTTGGTTGCCCTACTCGTCGAGTAGCAGCGGGTTGGTCCGCGTGTTTTAGTGACCTACTCGCCGAGTCCAATAAGGGACTCGACGAGTAGGAGCTGGCAGATGAAACCCTAAATTCTGGGGTATTGCACCCTATTTAAAGGATCATTGGCCTTCTCAGCCTCCCCTTACAACCTCTTGATAATCCAGAAACCCTAATTTGTGTGAGTGTGCTCGATTTGTGTATTCTTAAGCTTTGGAAGAGGGTCTTTGGAGAAGAGAGATTGGAGAGCAAGTATCTAGAAGCAAGGGAACGTGTGGGATCTGAAATCTATCTTAGTGGCATCCATTGGAAGGTATCAAATCGCTATCTTGACCTCATTTCTTTTCTAGATCTCTTTTGGGGTAAATTTTAGGGATTTTCTAGTATGTTTGGAAGCTTTTCTTATGTATAAGCTAAAATCTGAAGTTGTAACTTCAGATCTGAACTCTCTTGGGCCTTTAAGTCCATAAAGCTTCCAACTTTAGCAAAGATGAGACTCTCCCTAGGTGCAAACCTCCATTTGCCAGCTTAGTTTGTCATTTTAAGACTTTAGGGTCTTGCATGCACGTAAAGTTTGCAACTTTACGTGATAAACATGCCTTGGGAAGCTGGATCTACAATATGGAGCCTTAGCATGGCTTAAAAAGCCATTGTATGGATGAAGGACTAAATGGACTCGGTGAGTCGGATGAACGACTCGGCGAGTCCGATGAAGATTGCATTGGGCTCGGCGAGTCAGTCGAATGACTCGGCGATTCGGCTAGGGTTTTCCCAACCTTTGGACACGTATGAACCCGACGAGCTGTAAAGGGGAAACTCGACGAGTTGGCCAAGGAGTTGCGGCCACTGACATTAGGAACTCGACGAGTCGCTTAAGTGACTCGGCGAGTTAGCGAGTTATGCAAGGAACTCGGCGAGTGGTTGGTTGTACTCGACGAGTTGAGGTCAACATGGACTGCTGACTATGACAGTTGACTTTGACTTTGACCAAGGGCTGACTATTGGACTTCTGGGGCATTTTAGGAAATTGGAAATTTACAAGCATGGTTCTATGGTGCATTCAGGTGGTGGAGTTGTACCGACAATCCAAGAGCTTGAGTTTATCTTCGAGTCGACAGTACGAGGTGAGTTACCTCACTATACTAAGGGGTCTAAGGCACCAAGGTCGGCCCATTGGATATGTTATCATAGCAGTGTTAGATGTCGAGTATGAGTTAGTGTTGCATGCTAGTGGTTATGCCAGTTAGGTAGGTCTGTAGGACTACCTGTGTTGTTATATGATTATCTGCATGCTCAGTAGATATGTTATATGTCGATATGTTATGTGTGGTGGGTTGAGGTGACACTGCTCCGTGTGGTAACCAACAAACCCGGGAGCATTCCAAATACGAGCTGAGGGCCAGGTGGGGCATGTCAGACTCGTACTGTGGGCTCGGGAGCATTCCAGATACGAGCTGATGGAGACTCGTACTGTGGGCTCGATGGCAAACCAGATGTGAGTTGTGGGCCCGGAAGGCAATCCAGATTCACACTATGGGCCCAGGGGTAATCCAGTCTGTAAAGCTGTGGACCCGGTACATGCTGTTATTTGTATATGTATTTTGTGCAGTGTATCGGTATTTTGGGGGAAACTCACTAAGCCTCGGGCTTACAGTTTTAGTTTATTGTTTCAGGTACATCAGGGGATCGCGGTAAGGCGAAGGCGTGATCGTATAGCTCCTTGTGTTTTATTTATGTTTCTGGGATGAACTCTGATATTAGACTATTTTGAAAACAAATTTGTAATAACCACTGGTTTTAAATGTTTGAAAAGTTTTAAATTAGCTTAAATTTTATGGGTGTTACAAGTTGGTATCAGAGCCTTGGTTTGAGTGAATTGGAGGAACACTCGTGTAACTCCAGTCTCAAATCAAGGAAAGGATTTTCAAAATGATTTTTCAAAAGGTTTTCAAAATAAGTAAAGGAGGATGCAGGGTGTACGATCAGCCGGAGCCAGTAAGTAGATCCCAAGATACCATACAGTTATTTGATATTACAATGTATTAGAACAGCATGCTAGTACTAGGCTAGGGATCTCAGGAATTGCATGATAGAATTGCCTGATTACATGATGCCTGCTAGCCTAGGGTTTTCTCTATATGGAATTGACATCATTATTGTAGTTTCTTAGTGTATACATCACGGTCGTACATAATTAAGATCTTATAGCCTGAGAATGTTTGGTTTGGCCTTATTTCCTGTTCTTGTTTGATGAAGGGCTTAGGGTAGGATCAGGTATTCGAAAGTCTATAGGGTCCAGCGTTATGTATGATTAGCATACACTAGTACTGCAGGGTTGGTGGAAGTTTCATGGATAGGTGGGTCGTGCGGGGCCGGGAGGCCCGTTATGAGATATTTAGCATTCCTCTAGGAGTGAGGGTTGAGTGCTTGCTATGTTATATATATTTGTTTAGGGTGTTGTGGTGATACTTGAGACAAATATGGGTAGGTGTGGAAGGTAGTATGGGCCCGTACTACTGAAAGCACATGACCCATACGCGTAGCAAGGAAGTCACAACCCCTAGGGTTCAGTCGGGAGTTGGGTCCCAGTTCTTATATGGATTATCTGATATCTTGTGGTATGTTTCAGAATGGTGACGACGAGACGCTTTGTGACTGGATCCGGTTCGGGATCAGGATCAGGAGATGGAGGCCAGGAGGGGACAACAACACCTGAGCCTGTGGTGCAGATGGGTGCAGAGGAGTTGGATGCCAGGATTCGAGAAATCCTGCATGATGAGGTTGCTGCCATGTTCCGGGCACAGCTACCGGAGATGTTTGGGTCTATTAAGACCGTTATGGTTGAGTACTTTGAAGAGCGTTATGCAGCCCTTGCAGAAACGGCTGCCGCTGCAGCTGTATTGGCTGTAACAGCGGCAGG